CTGTAGTCCCAGCTACTCGGGAGGCTGAGGCAGGAGAATGGCGTAAACCCGGGAGGCGGAGTTTGCAGTGAGCCGAGATCCGGCCACTGCACTCCAGTCTCGGCGACAGAGCGAGACTCCGTCTCAAAAAAAAAAAAAGGTATCATTTGGTATTGACTGTGAAGGCCACATTAGGAAAACTTTTATGATGCCAGAAATGTTCTATAGTTTTATCTTAGTAGTGGCTTTGTTGGTATATACATGTGTAGACATCAAAATTATATACTTAGCATTAAATAAAAAAGTGAGAAGTAATAGCATTTGAGATGAGGTGAAAGTGAATTATGGGAGTATTAGCAGACATATTGCCTAAGGTGAATGATAGCTCTTTTCCCCCATTTGTTACTTTCTACAACAAAAGATGGTTTTTAATTATATAAGTTACAGGTATTTAGATAATTATAAGTGTCTAAAGTTAAAATTGAAGGTCTCCTTCCTTAGAGCATTGCTTGAGTCCAGGAGTTTGAGATAAAATCTTTTCTATGTATACACCAACATTCTTTAAACACACATTTTGAGAAGTATCAAACTATATATATAATTCTGAAATTTGCTCCACCTCCACAACTCAACAGCATATAATAGATATCTTTTAGTGTCAGATTATAGACTCACCCTGATTCTCTTTAATGATTGTGCAATCCTCCATAGTATGTTTATATCGTAACTTAGCCTCCTCCCTAAACATTTCAGGTTATCTTTAGTTTTTTACTAATGAAAATAATTCTGATTAACTTTTTTTTACATCTATATTTGTATATTTCTGTAAATATTGTTATAGGATAATTCCAGAACTACAATTCCTAGGTTAAATTTTGTTAGCTATCACAAAATTGTCCTTCAATTTCAGCAATTGGGAACGATAATCTTGCCAACATTGGATATTATCAATCTTTTAAAATGTTTGCTGATCTAATAGACAAAGATGGAATCTCACTGTTTTAATTTGCCTTTCTCTGATCACTAGTGAAATTGGGCATCCTTTCTTATGTTAATTATCAATTGATGTTTCTTTTTTTGTTAATTTTGTGTGCCCTATTTTAATTCTCCTTATTTGTCAGGAGTCGTCGTTTATGAGAATAATCCTTTTCTTATTACGTATGTTGCAAATTTCTTCTCCAATTTCTTGTCTTTTAGATTTATTTGTCTTTTAGCTTTACCTTATGAAGCTATCCATTGTTCCTTTATGACTCCTTCATTTTGTATTTTCTTAAGATCATTTACTTAGGAAGACCAGATATATTCTTATATTTTGTTCTGGAAACTTACTCTTTTGCATTTTACTTTTAAATCATTAATCATCCACAAATGTATTTCATGAGCTAAATATATGAATATTAGTAAGCTTTTTTCCCCCCCAAAATGGATAGCCAGTTTTTGCCATAAACCACTGAATAATCTATCTTTTCCTCACCAATTTAAAAACCAGGGATAGTACTATATGAATGAATGAGGATTATAAGAAATGTACTTTTTTTTTTTTTTAATGCAGAGAGGAGGATGTCAGTTTTGAAGCAGAGGTCAATGATATAGGACAGGGTTTGTAGAAAGTCAAGGATAAAAGAATGTGGTTGCCTTGGGAGCTGCTGTAGTGTCAAACTGGATAGGTTTAAAAGTATAGGTGGGATGAAGTAAGAGTATATCTAGGACAGACAAATATAGGCACACCCATATGTTTATATGCTTAGCTCTATGCTTTGCTTTACTGCTCTTCACAGATATTGCAGGGTTGGTGTGTGTGTTTGCAGATTACAGATCTGTGATAACCTTGTGCTGAGCAAATCCGTCAGTATCGTTTTTTGGACAGCATGCGTTTGCTTTGTGTCTCTGGGTCACATTTTGGTAATTTTTGCAATATTTCAAATTTTTTCCTTAGCATTATGTCTCTTATAGTGATCTGTAATCAGTGATCTTTGATGTTACTATTGTAATTGTTTTGGGTAGCATGAAGAGCACCCACAGAAAATGACAAACTTAATAAATTATGTTGTGTGTGTTCTGACTGCTCGACCAACTGGCCATTTCCCTGTCTCTCGCCTTTGGCCTCCCTGTTCTTTGAAACAACAATATTAATATAAGGCCAATTAATAACTCTACAGTGTACACCTAGTATGCATCAATATTAATCCTTCAATGGCCTCTAACTATTCCAAGTAAAAGAGTCATATGTCTCTCACTTTACATCAAAAGCTAGATACAATTAAGCTTAGTGAGGAAGGCATATCAAAAGCCGAGAGAGTCCAAAGGCTAAGCCTCTTGCACCAGTTAGGCAGATTGTGAAAGGAAAGGAAAAGTTCTTGAAGGAAATTAAAAGTACTATGCCAGTGAACATATGAATAATGAGGAAACAAAATGGCCATATTGCAGACATGGGAAAAGTCTGAATGGTCTGGGTAGAAGATCAAACCATCTGCAACATTCCCTGAATCCAAAACCTCATCCAGAGCAAGGCCCTAACTCTCTTCAATTCTGTGAATGCTAAGAGAGGTGAGGAAGCATCAGGAGAAGAGTTTGAAGCTTACAAAGGTTGGTTTATGAAGTTTAAAGAAGGAAGCTGCCTCCAAAACATAAAGGTGACAGGTGAGGCAGCAAATGCTTATGTAAAAACTGCAGCATGTGATCCTGAAGATCTAACTAAATTAATTGATGAAGGCGGCTACACTAAACAACAGATTTTCAATGTAGATGAAACAGATTTCTACTGGAAGAAGATGCCATCTCATAGCTAAAGAGAAGTCAGTGCTTGGCTTTCAAGGACAGGCTAATGTTGGGGGCTAATGCAGCTGTTGATTTTAAGTTGAAGCCAGTGCTCATTTACCATTCTGAAAATCCTAGGGCCTTTAAGAATTTTGCTGCATCTTACTCCCTGTGTGGTCTGTAATGGAACAACAAAGTTCAGATGAGAGCACATCTGTTGATGGCAGAGTTTACTGAATATTTTAAGCCCACTGTTGGGAACTGCTAAGCAAAAAAGATCTCTTTCAAAATATTGCTGCTCATTGACAATGCACCTGGTCACCCATTTTCTGTGGTGAAGATGCCCAAGGATATTAATGTTGGTTTCATGCCTGCTAACAACATCCATTTTGCAGCCCATGGGTCAAAGAATGATTAAGATTCTCAAGTCTTGTTATTTAAGGATTGCATTTTATAAGGCTATAGCTGATATGGATAGTGATTCCTCTGACAGATCTCAGCAAAGTAAATGGAAACCCTTCTGGAAAGGAGTCACTATTCTAGATGCCATTAAGAACATTTGTGGTTCATGGGAGGAAGTCAAAGTATCAACATTAACAGGAGTTTGGAAGAATTTGATTCCAGTCCTCATGGGTGATTTTGAGGGGTTCAAGCTCAAGTGGAGGAAGTAACCGTAGATATGGTGGAAATAGCAAGAGAACCAGAATTAGAAGTGGGGCCTGAAGATAGGACTGAGTAAGACTTGAATGGATGAGGAGTTGCTTCTTACAGATGAGCAAAGAAAGTGGTTTCTTGAGATGGAATCTACTCCTGGTGAAGAAGCTATGAACATTGTCGAAATGACAACAAAGGTTTAGAATATTATGTAAACTTAGTTGATAAAGCAGCATCAGGATATGAGAGAGTGGACTCCAAGTTTGAAAGAATTTTTACTGTGGACAGAATGCTGTCAAACAGCATCACATGCTACAGAGAGATCTTTCGTCTTACAGAGAAATCAAACAGGAAGAATCATTCAATACAGCAGATTTCATTGTTGTCTCATTTTAAGAAATTGACCCAGCCACCCCAGCCTTCAGCAGCCACCACCCTGATGAGTCAGCAGCCATCATCAAGGCAAGACCCTCCACCAGCAAAAAGAATGTGACTTGCTGAAAGCATCAGATGATCATTTGCATTTTTAGCAATAAAGTATTTTTAAAATTAAGATATGAACACTGTTTATTTAAACACAATGCTGTCAACACAACTTTTATACCTACTGGGAAACCAAAAAGTTTGTGTGACTCACTTTGTTGCCATATTTGCTACATTGCAGTAGTCTGTAAACAAACTTTCTGTATCTCTGAGGTATGCCTGTGTGTACTAAAATTTGTATAAATAGTAATCAAGGGTAGGAAGTCAACAGCTATTTATGTTATGCAAGGTGATATTATAAAGGAATTCTTGGGTGTTTTTTCTTTCTTTTTTTTTTTTTTTTTTTTTGAGACGGAGTCTCGCTCTGTCTCCCAGGCTGGAGTGCAGTGGCCGGATCTCAGCTCACTGCAAGCTCCGCCTCCCGGGTTCCCGCCATTCTCCTGCCTCAGCCTCCCGAGTAGCTGGGACTACAGGCGCCCGCCACCTCGCCCGGCTAGTTTTTTTTTTTTTTGTATTTTTTTAGTAGAGACGGGGTTTCACCGTGTTAGCCAGGATGGTCTCGATCTCCCGACCTCGTGATCCGCCCGTCTCGGCCTCCCAAAGTGCTGGGATTACAGGCTTGAGCCACCGCGCCCGGCCGGGTGTTTTTTCTTTTTGTAGATGTATTTTAATTTATTATCTTTGGCTTAGGAATTACCATTAACCATTGTATAGGAACATGTATTAAGAGTAAGCTCTTTTTGCTTAACATCCGATTTAAGTCGAGCTTTCATATTTAGTCATAACTTATTTATTTAAAGCTATTAATATATAAAAGGTAATTATCAATTCTGGAAAAGTTTGGCTCTATGACTGTGTACAAACTAATTCAAGAAAAAGACTACTAAGTACGTGAAGCACCACATCCAGAGAAAAAAGATTTTCTAGAAAATTCGATACACATATAGAGGAAAGTGATTATGTGTATACTTATGGGACTAAATTTGAAGTGTGTTGGAAATGGGGTTGTCAGTGTGATTTTAAAATTATTGACCTGTAACAGAGTCATTATAATTGAAAATATTGCTTTATTTGTCTTGTCTTCCCTTGCCTTTACCTCTATCCTTCTGTTTTCTCCTTTGTTACAGACCATACATCTGTCGGCGGTCTGGGAGACAGTTTTTATGAATACTTACTGAAAGCATGGTTGATGTCAGATAAAACAGACCATGAGGCAAGAAAGATGTATGATGATGCTATTGAGGTGACTATTTCCAGAACATTTTTCTACTTAACAGATTGAACGTACAGTGTATTTGGTAGTGACTAGATGACTATCTTATAACCATTTTATTATAGACATTCAGTAAATATGTATAAGCATTTTATTATATGCATTCACTATAGAGTTTGCTACTATTTTAATAGAAAAGCCTCATATTTTAAGTCTTCTTTTATTTGTGGCATTTTAAAGAAATTTTTGAAGAAAGAATTTATTGTAGGCCGGGTGAAGTGGCTCACACCTGTAATCTCAGCACTTTGGGAGGCCGGGGTAGGCAGATCATTTGAGGTTGGGAGTTCAAGACCAGCCTGGCCAACATGGTGAAAACCCATCTCTACTTAAAATACAAAAATCAGCTGGGCATGGTGGTGCATGCCTGTAGTCCCAGCTACTTGGGAGGCTGCGGTGGTAGAATCACTTGAACCTGGGAGGTGGAGGTTGCAGTGAGCTGAGGTCTCATCATTGCACTCCAGTCTGGATGACAGAGCGAGACTCTGTGTCAACAATAAATAAAATAAAATAAGAATTTATTTTAGTGTATTCATGAAAATTGATTTTATTTACTTTTAGTTAATGTTTGCAGAGACTGGAAAACTTCTGACTTTGTATACATTTTCATAAACGTTTTTTCTTTCAAATGACCCCTTTGAATTTACACATTGAGAGCCTTATGGGTAAATACTTAACTAATGACAACACATGTATATAGTATTTTCTACGTGCCAGGCACTGTTCTAACCCTTCTTACATGTATGAGATCATTTAATCATTATCACCATTTTACACATGAGGACCTTAAGGAACAATGAAGTTAAAGTAACTTGCTAAAGATTGTGTTGCTGGTAATTGATGGGGCCTGGAACTGAACAGTCTGGCTGCCGAGCCAGTGCTTTTAACCACTGTCTTATATTGTTTCATATTTAAATGACTTCATACCATGATATTGTGACAGTTTATAATTGGAACAAGATTCATTCTAGGAAGAATTTATATGGAGTATTTCTAAGAAAAAACTGAAATAGAAAAGTAAGTTAAAAGTGTGTTAAGTAAGTGTGTTTAGCAGGTTATTAGCTTTCTGCTTTATTATAAACTGATATCCACTTGACGATTTTAATTACTTTTTAAAAGTTGTATATTTTGTATATAACAACACTGTGCTGATGTAGTCAGTAATTAGTTGTCAGAGTTATAATTTTTGTTTGGTTTGTCTTTTTCATTAAACCAAGAATCTTATCCATTTTATATCCCTACTCTTTAGGCACCTAATTTGCTATAATTGTTTTTTAAAAATGCGCAGGAGTTGAACTTAATATGTGGCTCATGGTGTTTTGCCCATTATAGGTACTCAACAAGTGTTTGTTGAGATATTGTGTTAAATAATAAATTGAACTAAAGGTACAACAAAGAATATAAATTTTAGTAGGAGAACTTTATTCTCTTTTATTAAAATTTAAACCTAGAAAGTTTTATGATCCAGATAGGTTATTATCTGGGAAGAATTTAATATTCTTAGAACCATATTGTTAAAAATAGCTCTTAGTAATTCCCACTAGACTGTGGCCTCCTTTGAGGGCAGAGACTAATTTGCTTATCATTATCTCAGCATCTAGCACGTTACTTGAAACATAATAAGTATTCAATAGTATTTGATAAATGCATGAATATATTTAATATATTTGAGAAAATGTGGTGTATCATATCCCATAATAAATTAATTTTTGCTGTTTTCTTGTAATTTTCTTTAAAACTATTTTGACTTTTGCTTAATTTTTTCCAAAGGAAAAAAATTATATTTGTCATGCTTTTTTAATTGTACATGCTTTGAAAGGCATGATAACTATTTTGAAAGTTAACCTTATAAATTCACACTATTTTTCATGAATCATCTGCTATATGTTGTGTATTCTGTAAATATTTCTGTACTTGCTTTCTTTTCCCTGTTTTTATTAGTTTTATTAGTTATTAAGTCAAGAATAGGTACCTAATAAATGTTTTTTAATAGTTGGTCAGCTTTCACTTTGAGACATGATCTCAAGTATGCAGTCTTTGCAGTGTTAATTATTTTCAAAAATTATTGTTAGAATATTGTAAAATAAATGACATATGGAATGTATGAAAGAGATAGGAATGCCCACTTAAGACTCATTCTAATTTGAAATACGTTATTTTTAAACTTTGTCTTTCTGAGCTATTTTACTTAAATTATTCCATACCCATCCTACCTTACCGTGTTCTTACAGATATCCATATCCCTGGTTTCTACTTTCTTTTAAAATTATTGGTAAAAAAAAACCCTAGTGAACTGCCTTTTACTTTAGTTCTAGTAAGTCCATGTGGATATACTTGGATATCTTTTAATTGTAATATGGTAAGATTTATGTTATAATGAACAGAAATGACAAAATGACAAACATATGAATACCATCTTTTAGGCATTTTTGGAATACCTTTTATGTGGAAAACATGCTAGTATCATGAGGTTCAAAAACATGAAAAATACCACCCCATACTCAAAAAACTTTACTTGTGCTTCAGAGTACTATGGTTAAAACAATGACAAAAACTTATTACTTAATAATTAAACATGTATTGAGTGCACACTACATTATATGCCTTCTGGAATATAGGTGATCAGTAAGACATAGTCACTCCAGTTCTGTAAAACTCACATTATTATTACAGAGAATATAGAATAAAATTTTCCAATCCTGATTGTTATTAAACTTGTCAGCGAACAACTGACAATAAAAATATTCCTTTTTGTCAGAAAGAAAAGTTAACTACTAATCATACATAATAGTTTCTACTAAAGAAAACTGAGTTAATGGCCATTGCTTATACTTTTCCATAGAAATACCTCTAAAGGTAGAAAATAGCTCATCTCAGCAAAGTCTAAGAACATATTCCAAAGGAGCAAAGCTCTTGAAAATCTCATTTTAAAAATGAAACGTGATTGTTATACTCTGATATACTCAAGTTTAGTATAGACTGTTTCTCTCACCATTCCCACATCTTTTGAGTAAAATTTATATTCCAGGAAGATAGACAATGTTTATAATATGGCTTCTCTTATCCATGACAATGCATCCAAAACAAATGCCTAAGTCTGAGAAGTAAGGGACTAAAGATAATACTATGTAGAAGGTAATCTTTAGGCCAAGTCTCTCCTCTTCCACTCTGTCTTATTATGGTAGTGATTCAGGTATTTGTTCCAGATTATATGCAGTTTGATCCTCCACTCCAACACTTACTATTAATTAAGTCTCTTAGTTTGGGAAAGTTACTACTTTATAGACTATCGTATTACCCAGGTTTTATAATGGCCAGAAGGATATAGTAAGTTTGAACACTTAATAGTTTGCATCTAAAACTTTGAATATCTTTTCTTTCCTATAGGCTATAGAAAAACATCTTATTAAGAAATCTCGTGGAGGTCTTGTCTTTATTGGAGAATGGAAGAATGGGCACTTGGAAAAAAAGATGGGGCATTTGGCCTGCTTTGCTGGGGGAATGTTTGCACTGGGAGCGGATGGTTCCAGAACAGATAAAGCTGGTCATTATTTAGAACTGGGGGCAGAAATTGCACGTACTTGTCATGAGTCATATGACAGAACTGGTAAGAATATTAATAAGGCTAATTATATAGTCTAAAATAATCTCTAAAAATGTATTTAGCAATAAGAAGAATATGTAGGTGCTTGTTACTTCCAGATAGTTGACACCAACATGGCAAATCATTTTCTTAAAAACTTGAATTTTAATTCTGGAAATGTGTCTCTGCATTATTTTTTAAATTCTGAATTCTGCTGCTATTTCTGTTAAAGATTTTGAAGTAATTGTTTTAAAGACAAGAATCGTGGGGTATTTGGGAATAAATGGAATAACATTTATTTTAATATAAGAATCCATTTTTGCCATTTCAGCTTCTATAAAAACAGTTACTTAAAAGGACATAAAATTGACTGATTTCAGTTACATTGCCTTGCCTATCCTCTTGTGATAAAAAGAATAACCAAAAGATGATAGTATTTATCTTTATTGGTGTCTGGCTAACTAGTAGTTTTTCAGTTAGTTCACCAATAGTTTTTGGAATTGTTTATGGCTTTAACTAAAAAGATCCTCTGACATTGCATTGGGCAAATATTTTCTGAACTTCAGTGTCATTACTTAGAAAAGGAGATGATTCTTCAATGGTGACAAAAATTGGTTTGGTTGGGGCTGAAAAAATTTTTACTGTTTGTGTGTAAAGCACAGATATACATATAGTCATACATAGATACACAGTATATATTTGGTATTAAAATTTTATGGAGGGAGAAGGCAATTAGACTTTTTTTAAAAAGGCAAAACGCTTCTTAGGGGTGCAGTAATGAAAAGGGGCTGAAAAACACTGGACTAGACCTTCCAAGATTTTCTCTGGCTTTAAAAACATGAGTTTCTATATGAGGTAATGGATAATGAGCTCCCTGAAAGCCAAAAAATTAGAAATTTCTATTTGATTTCAGAAGTCAAATCATTAATTTTATCAAATAACAATTTCTGTTTTAGGGTTACTTTATCATCAGATACCATGAAACAAATATGATTGACCTAAAATTTATGCTAGTTCATAAATCTGTCAAGTTATTTTTATACAGTAAGGAATTATTAACTTATGGCAAAATTGATTCTTCAGTTTTCTCGTTAACTAAATCAAGGGTTCCCTTTCTTGAAAGAATATAAGTCAAGAGGACAGTGAAGTAGTGTTATTTCAGGTTAGTTTAAGTGTTGGTGTGTAATACATATAAAGGCAGTGATCTGAGTTTGAAATAGAGGCTAAATTAAATTATCGTGTTGATATAGAATGTCAATTATGCACTTAAAATATAGCTAAAACATTAGTAAAACATTGAGGACCAGGATGGATATTCATAGAGGCTAAATTAAATTATTGTGTTGATATAAAATGTCAATTATGCACTTAAAATATAGCTAAAATCAGTAAAACATTGAGGACCAGGATGGATATTCAATTTTATATTAGGATCCACGAGAATAAGGATTGTTATTTGACCGAAAATCAAATAATAGACCTAAAATAATTGAATTTCATATAGCATACATACTAAAATATGGTATATCATAGTTATTATAATTAAATATTTGCTCCATGAAATAGGGAACAGCCATTATATGCCAAGTATTATGCTAGATGCTTATAGGTTAAAGTATGAACAAGATACATTCCCTGCCTTTCAGAAATTCATAGTGTATCGGAGTTATGAAAGGATTTCCTTATATTTCTGGTTTTCACATTTCATAATGACATTGCTGATGCTGATTCTTTTTCTGATTGTCATTTTCACATTGCAAGTTGATGAACCTGTGACCCTCTTTGTTATGGTAAACCAAAACATGATTATTTGATTTGTGTCCTGTATTTTCAAGTCTTCTGTTGTTTTTACTTGTCTTTAATCTCAATTTAGATCCTTTAATTAAAAAGTACAATCCTAGTTTTGCTAACTTTCCAGCAGGTTATTAATCCTCTGCTGTGTTTTCTTATAGCTGTGCTATAATTTTTGGCCGCCGTATTTTAAAATATCCATTCATTTCTCCTTAGTAGTTATTCCAGCTAAATTTATACTGTAATTATCTACAACTAAATCAATTCATGATCTAAGTTCTAAAATGTTTTCTTATACATGTGTATTATGGCAAAATGTCTTTAAAAATTACCTTGCCTTAAAAAAAATTCCACACAGTATAATTATCTATGTACTTTTATTTCGGACCACAGTGGACTATATGATGTGCAAATGTCTAAGTTTGCATTTGTTTCCAAAAGATTACTAGACTCTTATTGGTAGAATTGGATTTAGCAGTATGTTGATACACATTATTCTGAGAAACATTTTATGTGAGAATAATAGGAATATTTATAAGTCTATTTTAAGAAAACCAAATGTGGATCTTTTAAAATGACTCATTTTGCACTGAGTGCAAACAGCAACAATAAAAATAAACAACAAAAATTACTTCATATTCTATTCTTTCAGAGAAGAAAGAAGTCCTTGCAAACAAACTTAAATGGTTTATTTTGCTCAGTTATTTCTTTTGTCATGTTACAGCATTAAAGCTAGGTCCTGAATCATTCAAGTTTGATGGTGCAGTGGAGGCTGTGGCTGTCCGGCAGGCTGAAAAGTATTATATACTCCGTCCAGAAGTAATTGAAACCTATTGGTACCTATGGCGATTCACTCATGATCCAAGATACAGGCAATGGGGCTGGGAAGCAGCACTGGTAAATAAGCCAATATTCCATTTTATCTGAAAGAGTGTTACATCATGCCCTCCTATGATGCCATGTATCCTCACCCATGTTACCTCATTTTTAGTATCTGTAGGGCAGTTTTTGTTTATCTGATGAAGAAACTCTTAGTCAATTTAAGTTTCTTGGCAGTAGAAATAAATCTTACAATACATATTAAATATATATTAAAATATTAAAATATTTTTAAAATATATAAATATATATATTTCAAAGGAGGAATTTTTAATGGTTAGTAGGTAAAGGAAGCAAGGGTTTACTCTTAAAATGCTAGTCTTTCAGGGAATCCATGGCTATCAGTACCTAGGGAGGGAAAAATTATTAGTCTTTTATAAAAGTATAGCTTATTCCCAGGGGTAAGGGGTTGTTTTATTCTTTGAGATTTACTAATTGTGATAAATAGCACTAATTATGGTGACTATTCATATTCAAATTGTTTAACTTAAGCTTACAATCTAGATAGAATGATTAAGGAATCCCAAATGAGGTCAGTAGTGCTGGTAAATTGCCCAGACAGGAATGTATGAGATATGTTTTAGGGCGAGATGTATACCAATTTGTGTAAAGAGAACGTTGCACAGTGGCAAAGCGGGAGAGAAGATTGGAGACATTATGTAGACAGCCTTACACACCAAATCAAAGGTTCTTAGTTGTTCAGGAAATAAGACGTGTGTGCACAACTCCCTCCCTGCAATATACACTATCTTAGTTACTTATGTCAGCTACTGTGTAAGTGCTGTCATATGGGAAGTGGTAATAGAAAGTTCTTTGTTTATCCAAAAAGCCCTTCAAATCTTGTTTTTCTTTTTTCCTTAGCATCTTCTACCTGCAAAAGCTGCTTGACTTTTGAGAATTCCTTACAGAACTACTAAATGTTTTATAAGGGGGAAGGAACTCCTGAAGGCTTTTTTCAGTGGGGAGTAACAAAGCAAAAGGATCTGATTGTAATCCACAAGTTGGTGGGTTTGGGAGACCACAGCCATAACCTAGGAATAATGTGAGATCTTGAACTAAGGGGAGTACACTTATTTTTCACCTGTCATTCAGACCTAGGTAGTCCTCCTGGACTTTAACAATAAGAGCATATTAATGGAAGCAAGTGGTTACACAGGACAGGAACAGATGCAGCATTTATTGATGCTGCTTTTCCTTGGCTCCTTGGGTCCAGAATTGGGAGCACGGCTACTAGTGAAATTCTCTGTGTAGGAGGGTGCTGCCACAGTTGAGAAGACAGCCAAACTATTGCCACAGTGGTTTGGGAATAGAATGCACACACACTTCTATTGTTAGCAGTGGCTTACTAATGCTTCCGTAAATTAAGCACTATTTTATGTAAGGGAAATAGATAGGTAAAATAATCATATAATGAACCTGTTTCATTTGAACATCCCCTGTTATTTAATGCTTCTTATTTAGAGGAGTGAGGGGGATATGTCTGAATCATGTGAGGAGTGGAAAGTGGTGGCAGAAGCACTTTTTGTCATTGAGGAGTACTTTAGGATAATTCATCCATTTCCTAAGGTCCTTTTTTCCTGTGTGCTTTCTTCAAGTATGACCCTACTTTTGTCTGTTAAGGAGAGCTGTGACAGAGTCAGACTTTAGCCCATGTCTGTCTAAATTTGAATTATGGGAGGTAGAATTTTGCTTTTATAGCCTATGTGGACAAACACAAACTCAATGTGTAATTGGTCAAGAACAAGAACTGGAGTACTTATATTCTAAATTCGAGTTTCAGAAGTGTGCAGTGGAAATGATGAGAAGAGGGAGGAATGGAGGCAAAAGAGGCAATGTCACATCTTAAATAGTATTTGCTCATGCATCACCATTGGCCTCTCCTCTTGGGTGTGAAGAAAGCAAAGGGAAGGCTGGGTGAGGCAGAATAGCAGTATAGCATGTCTTCTGTAGCCTTGGCTATTCTGTTTACATGTTGAAACTTCCAAACTGGCCCTCATGACTCTAAATGTCTTAAAGATTAGTCATGCCTCCCCACTACTTTCGTATTATTCTTCAACCATTTTGATAATTCATATGGTGGTGAAGACACATGATTATTGTGAAGAAAAGTACTTAAAAAGTCTTGTATCCAAAATTTCTTTATAATATATTAGAGAAAAGCACCAAACCCCTTAAACTTAGCTGTAATCAAAATGGAGCTATAAAATGAACAGATTGATTAAATAAACACCTTTTTAATGTTAATTAGCTTTTCATAGGAAGGAGAAGCCCAGAAGAGTAAGAAAAGTAGCAAGACTAGAAACAACAAGCCATGGCAGACAGCGATGATTAGTTAAGTACCCATGCCTTCATTGGATGACCACCCAGGGTTAGGTAGAATAGAAAAACAGAACCACATGTGCTTTCCACTTTTCATGAATGGCTGAATTCTGGACTGTGCTGTACCTGCATAAGCAGACTGTTTGGTTGCTTTGAATTAAAAAATAAGGTTGTGAATAGATTCCATTTGATTCAGTATATTTTATTTAGACATGCCCAAAGATGCAAAAAGAGGAAGAATTTTAACTCTCAGTCAAGCAGTAAAGCACAGTAGTTAATAATGTGGAGCAAAGTACTCTGTGTCTCAGTTTTCCCATCTGAAAAGTGAGGCTGTTAACCTCATAGAGTTGTGAAATTCAAATGTGACTATATTTAAAGCTCTTAGAACAGCTTTTAGCACAAAGTAAATAGCTTATAATTGTTAACTCTTTATACTGTAATTATTATTATGGTAGGTGGGCTCTTTCTGCCAGTTGGTACCACCTGTAATGGCTAACTCATAGGATTATGATAATGCAATGTCTGGCACATAGTACGTATTTAGTAAATATGATCTCTTACTGCTATTACTATAGAGTGCTCCTAAGTAATACTTTTTTAGCATGTTGTGGATTATTGTTTGTCCTTGGAAGTGGTAAAATTGCAATAAAAATTGTTAATCGAAACTGACCTCCATCTTGATTTGTCAGAACTAATGGACCTTTATTTTGCCAGACAGACCCCTCATTTCAAAAAAATAGCCTAAATTTGATTTCTAAGTTAGGAAAATATAAGATGTCTTAAAAAGATTAAAGGGTTTTGGAGAGAGAGAAGTTCTATAGGAAATACCCTATTTCTTGTATGAGTTAATTTTTCCAGTATGAGAATATTTCCTTTTGATAATATATTATTTTTAAGACATCAAATTTTCATGCAAATCTTTATGAACTTTTGACTATTATCCTTCAGAGTTTTGTTGTCCTTCAAAACTTGAAATTCTGCGGAATTCCTTATTTTGTCTGATCTCTTTCATAGGCCATTGAAAAGTATTGCCGAGTTACTGGTGGATTTTCTGGAGTTAAAGATGTATATTCCTCTACTCCTACACATGATGATGTACAGCAGAGCTTTTTTCTTGCTGAAACATTAAAGTAAGTATATCGCTTTAAAAAAATTTTTATACTAGACTGGTTTTGCTGTGTGATCACTAGATGATGAATTATGACTATGTGACAGGTTACACTAAATTTTATTGTAAATATCTTTTTATGTAATTGGGTGTGTAAACTTTTTAGCTACATCTCAAGAAGAATGACTTAGACTGTAAGGTAGGTATTTTATCCAAAAAGTACTTAGTACCTGTTAAAATTTTTTGTTCCTTGTTCTTTAATGTGCATTAAAATCACCTGGAAGTCTTCTTAATACACAGGTAACTAGGTCCACACCCACAAAGTTTCAATAGATCTGGAGTTTAGCCTAAAAATTTGCATGTCTAACAAGCTTCCACATGTTACTGATAATGCTAGTCCTGGGATCATACCTGAGCTCCCTGCTGTAGCTAATGAAATCTGTTAGGAATAATCATGCAGTTTTGATGGTACTAAATGATCATAGCCACTTATCCTCCCGATGAGGTTTACTGTAAAGATACACATAAAAGGAACAATGGAAAAGAGTAGACAACTTTATTTTGGTCTTATACTCAAAACCCCAGGTAGAGCTCTCTGTAAGCAGACCTGGAAAAGATGGAGGCTGTAAATATGTCCACTTCCCTGAAGACTGACCAAATAAATATCTCTTTGTACTCTCTCTTAAATTTCTTATTTGTATTTCTTGCATATCTGTACATGAAAGCCTTGTAAACATTTTATTTTTTCAACAAATGTGTATTACCAGGCACTGTTCAAGACACTTGAGGATGTTTCAATAGGCAAGCAGGACAAAAATTCCTGCCTTCTGGATTTTACATTCTAGTATACTTGTAGTTTACATTCTCATATATTACAATTAAAATGTACCTGTATCGAACTAAGTTTCTAAATGTCTATCCTAAATGCTATCTTATTCTAATTTTTCTTTTATTACCCCAGTACTGTTGTTTTCCTGTCTTTTTAGCTTATACATTATAGAATCATTTCTGCTTCCTCCTTTTAATATATCACCAGTTCTTTATGCTTCTTTCTGTTACTTTTTTTTATTTTGCTTCCTCCTTTCCATTTCTCCAATTGACCCTAATCCAGCCCCTTATTACTTCTGGGATGGTTTAGAACATCTGCCTGGTACTCAGTCTCCTATATCTAGATGTTTCTTATTCTGACTTATCCTGTGTGATTAGGCTTGAGACTGTATAAGTTGAAAGAGCACTGGACTAGAAAATAAAGCGACAGGAACTTTAGTTGTACACTAGCTACATCTAGCTGAATGAACATATCAAAATAAAATTTCTTTGCTTTTGGTTTACATATTTGTAAACTATGGAATTTGGCCCAGATTATGTAGTATCTCCTGTTTTATTTTTTTCTTTTTTAACTTTAGAAAAACTGTAAGATAGGATAATGATTATTTGTGTCTTTTCACCTAGTTTTGCCACATTTCCTTCTCTTTCTTTCTGCATACACTCACATATACACATAGTTTTACTTTTTTTTTTTTTTTTTTAGCTTTTCATTTTGCTGGACAAGTTGATAGTAACCAGCATTATGATATTTCAGCAGTAACTTTCAGGAAAAGGTCATTATCTTACATAATCACCATTTAGTTCTCACACTCATGAACCTTAATATTCACATAATATTATTGTCTAATATGTAGTCCCATTTTCAAATTTCTCCAATTGTTCCAGTAATGTACTTTTTTTTTTGTTTAATGCCAATTCAGGATCCAGTACGGGATCATTTGTTACTTTTGGTTGTCATGTCTCTTTAGTCTCCTTCAGTGCAGTTTTCCTGTTTTTCTTTTATCTTTTATGAAATTGACATTTTTAAAGTATTCAGGCTAGTTGCTTTGAGGAATGTTCCCCATTTTAGATTTTTTTTCTAATTGTTTCTCATGATCAGATTTAGGTTAAACATTTTCAGCATGAATATTATATTGATCTGTGTTCTTATCATTGCATCCCTTAAAGAGACACATAGCAGTTTAGCCCATTATTGGTGAGTTTAGGTTTGAGCATAGGTTATACTTGATTATTGTCATGTAAACAATCTTTTTTCTTTTTGTAATTAATAACCTATCTGTGGAGTGATAATTTTGAGACTGTGTGAATATCTTTTAATCCTAGTTTCTATTCTTAAACCAACCTAATGTACATTCAAATATTTACATATATATAAAGTTTGTTCTGTTGCATTTGTCTATTTTATATTTAATTGCTTCTGGCAGGAATGCCTTTATCCTTTCTATCAATTAATGCCTCTCATTTCTAATTTCAGTTCATATTTCACCTCTTGCAGACTGGCTTTCATAATTAATTCTCAAATCTCTCATCACTACAAACTTTAGCACTTTAGTACACGGCATAGGGCTGGAAATAGATGGTATGCTGCCTCATCCCCTTTGAGTACCTATATGGAATATCACCAGTTAATCTTGGTACTTTTCCTTGCCAAGTTCAGGCAGAATTCTTCTCAACACAACAGTACGCTAGGTAACCAGTCAGACAGATAGATAGATAGATAGATAGATAGATAGATAGATAGATAGATAGATAGATAGATAGATGTTTGCTACAATTTTTGCCTTTAAAAAAACATACATTTAGAGCAATAAAAGTGAAAAAGGTGAAACAAAAAGAAACATACAATTAATTATAACATCACCTAGGCTAAGAAAATTGTCACAGTTGAGCAGTACGTTCAGCATTGCACTTCCTGGCAGCAAAAGCAAAAAGGAATCATTCTGCGCAGTGTCATTATCATTTTTGGGAGTTGAGGGAGCATATTACTTTGACAAATGAGACAGAATTTTTTATGTTGCTAAATTATAAAATGACTTAAATTGGATAACTCTATGAAAATATTGAGCTATTAAGTGAACCATATGAAATTACCCTTTTAAAAAGGGTAATTTGAATATTGGCAATTTAATACAGTTCGACCTAATACATAATGGTAATGGTAAATATTTTGAAAATATTTATTTTGTTTGAAACAGTGATCTTAGAGAAGATACAAAAACACTCAATCTGATTTACTCTTTATAAAAACTGATGTAAAAATACAATTGAATAAAGTCATTTCTGTGAAGATGTAAATTAATGTAGCTGTAGTCTTATTGTAAAAATAGAGCTTAAAACTTTATAGAGGAATGAAGATAAGTATGATCCCTTAAATATTTCTCAAAGATCAGTTAATTTAAATAGGCTTTGTCAGAAGCTGTCAATTTAAGACTGTATATTCTACCAAATGGTGGGAATTTATTGGGAATTCATTAAAAGGCAACAATCAATGTGTTTTAGCTACCAGAGATGGAAACTGATCGTCACGGCAGTGGCAAAGTTAAATGAAAAAGCCTGTATTCTTGACCTAAGTTGAGGGTCATTTTACCTTTTACATGTTGTCATAGGTGCTATACTATGGATTAGTTATTGCTATAGCTTTTTCCCCAGAAGAGGCCATGTCTCCACCTTTTTTTTGTTTCCCTTAATAGTCCTTTCTTCATTTATTAATATTTATCTAGCATATATACTGATGGCATAACAAAACCTATGTAATAAGGAAGGTCAGAGATAGATTCCTTCAAAGGTTCAAAAACTCTTATACTCTAGTACAGGAAATAAAACACATGCAATATATACAACAAATTTCAAATACATTAAGTGTATAAGAGAAATATTAACAAAATGCAGAAGTCTTTTAGAGAAGAGAGTTTGCTTAACCTGGAAAACAAGGGAAGATTTCCTGGAAGTAGTAGCATTTGAACCAGACTTGAAGGCAGAACTGGTATGCAGGGGAATAGCTGTAAGGTAGACCATGGCATATTAAGAATGAGATGAGAGCTCTAAAGGTAGAATTGACAAACCTGAATATCTGATTTTATATAAGGAGATTCAGTAAGAAGGAAGAATCAGAGTTAATATTAAAGTTTCCAGTGCCAACCTGACTACAGTTTCTAATCAGCATGTTAGTGCCTTTTAAATATTAATAAACAGTATTAACTTAGAAATGTTTATTGAACTATAACATGTAAGATTTGGCATGTTTGTATATGTATGTTATACTTTGACTTTTAAAGTTTAAAATATGAATATAACAAGGTAATTTAAGAAAATATCCAAAAATAGAAGGGTATGTTTCCAGCTTGAAGGAAACCATCAAGATCCCAGCATAGAAGATGAAAACAGACCCACACCAAGGCACAGCACGTTGAATTTCAAAACCCCTGGGGTAAAGGAAAGATCTCAGCTTCCACAGGGAGAGAGAGTAGAATAAAGTCTCATCGATATGGATTCAGGGTGGCTTCAAACTTCTCAAGAACAGTCATGAAAGCTAGAAGCATTGGAGCAGTTGATTAATGAGAGAAAATTAATTCCAACTTAGAATTCTGGGTTTTTAGCCACATAAGGTATCAAAAATCCACTTCCAATCCTCTTTCTCAGTAAGTTTTTGGAGGGTATGCTCCATGAAAACTGGATATAAACCAAAAAAGACATGCATACAGGGAAGAAGTGAAAGGAAGATTAAGGGAGTGATATATTGAGTTTGAGGAGGACAGAGGCTCTAGAGAAATTTCTTCAAGATTAAATTTATAGACTGTTTATATCTGAATATTTTGAGATGAGATTTAGACAGTTGTTGAAGATTTTAGGTGCATTATCACTAATAAATACAAGTCAGCTTGCTTTTTAAATAACGGGAGGAGTCGTGCAAGAAAGGAAAAGCCATGAATAGCTTTTAGTTAACATATGAACTTGTTTAAAGACACTTGGTTGGAGTCTTGATTGTTTTGTAAGAAGAGCTAAATGGTATTACTGCCCCCTCTCTTCAGCTGCAAGAAAGAGAAGTATGTTCTTTGATAATGGCTTTTGTCCCTCCAAGGATTGTCTTATTCATTAGTTTCCGTGAAATAGCAGTTGGTCAAAAGTCTCTTAAGCTGAAAGAATTGCGAGGAAAGTAGCAGATAGAACACCAAGACTCCTAGGAGCAGTTCTCTA